GAGAGTTGGAAACCAGGTCTAGCAGGTCCAACATAAGTTTGTAATGAGAGTTGGGAAACCAGGTCCAGCAGGTCCAACATAAGTTTGTAATGAGAGTTGGGAAACCAGGTCCAGCAGGTCCAACATAAGTTTGTAATCTAGAACTTTCTTGTGAATCCCAATTTTATTTGATCCTCTGTTTTGTTACCCTTATCTGTGCATAATTTTCTGAGTGTATAACAATGGAACGCCACTTCCTTACCATCTTGGACAGCATTTTCTGCTTGTGCTATCCCATCATGTTCCATTAGCTTGCTCAGGTTTCAAAACATGATCCTTAATAATTTGATATTTCATCAAGTTTCCCGAGCTGTTTAGGACAGAATTTATGAAAATAGTATACAGATGTAAGGACCTCTACTACTGTATTCATGTATGTATTTTTCACAGTCCTTTAAAGCCAACTCCAATATGTGGTCGACACAGTAAATAAGGAATGTTGTTTGGAAGAAATATCACACCTGAAGTCACTTGGAGTTCACTCTGTTGAAAATTCTAGGTATCAAATGTTTTTTACCAGATTTTATAAACCAAAAATCAGGTGCCAAATCTGCCACTTGTTAGTTTGAACCCTGAACAGGCACATTAGATGCACGCACACCTGAAAGTTATGCTGATAACTTTATAAAAGATATTTTATCAAAAAATACAAATAACTGTAAGATATGCAAAAGTACAATTACTATCAAATAATTGGCACCCAACTATGTAGTGATTGTCCTACGACCCTGACGTAAGGCTGAGGACCGGGCTTGTTTGTAAAAGAAAAAGAGCATTCACTTGGTGTGTAAGAGGTTTTAGATTAAAAAGTGGTTATGGGAGATGTAAAAACAGGATTACTGCACATACTAACTATAAAGAAATGCAATTACACCCACTCTTATGGCTATGTGATAAATATTTTTTGTTTTGTTTTTATTTCGTCTGAATATCACTGGACACAACTATTAGCCCTTCGTTAAAGTCAAAGATATTTTGATTTCAATTGCTTCCATTCTCATCTTCTATGTTCATGTAGCCTACAGCATGTTTATTCTTCCCTTATTGAAATGTGCATAGGGTCGGTCCACTGGCCCAATCCCATATTCAAGAAGGAATGTTGACAATAATTCTGAAGTTACTATGTGTATCTACACGCTTTTAGTAAAATGTACAAATCTGTTGCACACAAAAAACAGACATGTTATAAAAGTATCTGTACTCAAATGTTTGTGAAGTGATAATGTCAGTCTGATTCAGACTCTGACAAGTTGGAGTGCAAGATGTTTGATGTTTCTGTGAAGAATACAGATACTTATGTCCATCACACAGTTTGCATATTGTATAACCTATAGAACCTCTGAAATGCATAATCTAAAATTTTTCAGTACCCCTGTACAATGTATCTGGTACTTCCTCAGTCTTTCACTGGAACAGCAATACAGAGTAATATGAATAGATAATAACTTTGACATCAAATACATAATACAATGTTGAATGGCACTCTGTAAAAGGTTGTGGCATGTGCACTTTCATCCTCATCTGTGAAGTGTGGAGGAGGATGAAGATCCACTCTAAGAAAACATTTCCAAAAAGAAACTTCACAATTTATATTTCTGTACAAAAAACATCATTTATAATTTTAATTGATAAAAAAAAACTGACAAGTTGAATTATAACTCACCTCAACATAGTCTGCTGGAAACAAACCAGTTTCACCTTGTTGGTTGGTTCCTTCCCACCACCCCTCACCCACATCCTGTTAATGAGTAAAAGGGCAACATGTCAATCCAATTAACACTGTGGAAGAATGACTACAGAATATGAAACACATATCTTGAATTCTATCTTTCAAAAAAAAAAAAGAGATATTAGGATAGTTTGTATTTTCCAAGAATATGATTACTAATAATTTGATATTATGCATTCAAATTTTACTAGTTTAACAATTTATCATAATTTCAGTAATTCTCATTCTATACAGTTTTAATGCACCTCCACACAAACTGTAAGAATGGTTCTTGGCAATTTATAAAAAATATTAACTGTTCACCAATCAGCATTTTTCTAATACTTTGTTATTTCTAGATTAAACGAAGTTATGATTAATCAGTTAGTGTCACAAAAATAATCACCTAGTTATGACTTGTGTTTTTATAACTAGTGTTTCTGATTATTATGTATGTTGATTATTCCAACAATCAATTAATTGAAATTATGATCAAATCAACCGTTACAAAGTTATTAACTAATCAAAAGTTAACATTTTTCGTACCCTAAAATGTATTTCAGATAGGCACTCATCTCTCACACAGATTAGCTAACTTTATTGTTTGTCTGCTACAAGATTTTCATGGCACTAGCCTTGAGGCAACTCACACCTAATTTCACATGTTTTAACTTCAACTGAGCTGGTGTATGAAGATGTCATCACGAGACAAATGCCCTCCACCAATAGCAGGGCAACACAACCTCTATAAACAGTAACTCCTCCTATGCACTTGCACTCATGATAACTTCTTTCTTTGACAAGGTAAGACAAAAATGTGCATCAGAAATGGGAAGGATGGATGAATACCTATCATAAATACATTTTTAGGTAAGGAAAATGGTAACTTCTAAGATAACTCATCTCCACACTCAGATGAGCTAGAATCCCATGCTGAAGTAGTGGAGGGGCTGGTGCAAAATTTATTTAGGTGAGCTCCCTTCAGAAAGTGCCTGACAGGAAGCCCATGGAGTGTGACACCGGATGGTAGGAGTTCCATAGGAGCACACCTATGGGAGACAGCATCATCTAGACCAGGCTATATTCTTCATCCAGAATTTAGGGGGGGGGGGGTGGAGGCAAATGAGCCCTATGTGTCACTGAACTGGGTGGAATGAGAACCTGACTGTCCGAGCACTTACACACAATACATGTAGTGTAGTTGGGGTGCATTCAGACCTCACTCTCCAGGACAGACTCCAGCTACAGGAGGAGGGCACTGTAGTTATGCAGTATTGTTTCATATATTGTGTGCTCACCTCTACTCTACTGTACAGACACTGGCTGTAGGAAGAAGGCACATCAATGATGTACTATGGTTAACTATAATGTGTTTTCACCTCAACTCTACTGAACAGGCTCAGGCTGCAGGAGGAGGGCACAATAGTTTTGGATCATGTTTTCTGTACATTGAATGCTTATCTCAACTCTACTGAACAGACTCTGGTTGCAGAAGGAAGACACACTAATTGTGGATATCATGTTTTCTGTACATTGAATGCTTATCTCAACTCTACTGAACAGACTCTGGTTGCAGGAGGAAGGCACACTAATTGTGGATATCATGTTTTCTGTACATTGAATGCTTATCTCAACTCTACTGAACAGACTCTGGTTGCAGGAGGAAGGCACACTAATTGTGGATATCATGTTTTCTGTACATTGAATGCTT